ACAGCAAGGCCATGTCTAGAGGGTCCATCCATATCTTGAGCATACTCAGATCCCCAGATCCTTGGGAAGACTCTCGATATTTACGTGACATGAGTGTGCTGCTGAATACATTGCCCAACAGATGGACACTGGGAACTGAGAGGTGTCCTAGGCACGTGATTCTTGTCCTGTGGTGGACCAGTCTCCCACCTCACAGTGGTGTGCCCCTGTGAGCTCATCACTCTTCTCTGTCTTGGTGGGAGGTGGTGGCAGTCCTTACCCATACTGACTGCAGAGCAGGATGGCTGTTGATGGTGCCATCTTGTTTCAGGGCCTGAGGGTGAATATGTCTGTGGTCTGAGTGTTTCATGGTCTTATCTCCTTGCAGATGAAACCATTGTGCCACCAGATGTTCCAAGCTACCTCTCTTCTCAGGGGACTCTTTCTGACCGGCAGGAGACTGTGGTCAGGACAGAGGGTGGCCATCAGGCCAACAGACACATTGAAAGCAATGGTAAGGCCTCAAAAGCAGTGAAGCAGATGTCTGAAGTGATTGTGGTTCCAGAACTGGAATTAGTCTCCAGCTTCTCCCAGGGCAGGTCTCAGCACTGAGGGAGGGCGTTGGTGAACTAGAAGGCTGCACGGTTAATGGCTTCTGTTGGTCACTGTGTTGGGCTTAATGCCGTCTCCCAGTCAGGATAAGGTAGGACTGATGGGAATAGCTGCAAAGGTCTTGAAACCAAGCCATTGCTTAGGCAGTTAGCCCTTCATATGCATGGATTCAACCAAGCTCAGAATGAAATGCTTAGGAGAAAACCTTTGTACTGAACATATACAAACTTTTCTTGTCATTATTCTCTAAACATGCATTAATTTTACTAGCCATTATGAGTAATCTAAAGTATACTGTGTCATTTTATATAAGACGCCTGAGCATCACTGGCTTTTGCTGGGACTCTGGAACCATCTCCTGGTTACCAAGGGATGACAGTAGAGGGAAATACGTAGGTCTTCTCTGTTCTGGTCTCGTAGGAGAAATCTCTGGAATGGGGAGTGACTTGGGATGGTAGGAGATTCCGGGCACTTGCCTGGGGCCCAAGGGTTTATCCTCCTGAGTACTTCTTTCAGTGGCTCCAAATGCTGAAAGGTCTGCCTGCTAGGAGAGTGGAATTAGAAAACATGCTCCTTTCTGGACCTCCTGGGGGCATATAACCCACTACGTAAAAGCCAACTCAGAAAAAGGCTGTTTCAGTAGCCTCGCTGCCCATTCCTTCTGTAAGGCTTACTGAGAAGTGCTAAGCAGGGTTTCTGACTGGGGGAATCTGTTGCAGGTATTTGCCTGAGAGATGCAAGCCTCTTCCCAGAGGTCGACCTTCATGCCGTCACATGCAGGCAGCCCAAGCTCTCTGTGGGATATGTTAAAGAGCCCTGGAAGGTGACAGGAAAAGCCAGTGGGACACCTGGTCCACCTAAGATGGGTAGGGAAAAGTAGTTTACTTTTGAAGTCCACATTGTGTTTGACCCTCTCACTATATGAAGGGAGAGACATACGAGTGGTCTTGAAACTCTGTATTTGGTATTCAGTATATAAACAAGAAGCTCTGGCCTGGCTCCCTTTTAATTCTAGAATACTGTTTCTCATAGATAAATCTATAAGGTACAAAATCTGAGCATGAACTTTCTAAAATTTATAAGCAACTTGAGGGACAAGTCCCCCTAAAACGGTTTTAATGCCTTTGCACCAGGGCTATTTTGAGGCTAAATTTCTCATTGTTCATTTGAATTAGTTATCATGGGTTTTCTCCTATGATTGCAAGTAGTATGACCACATTCTCTGCGTACACAATTACATATGGAGTGTTTAGCTCACCAGCAGCCTAGGTATCCCAGGCCCTTTTCTCCAAGCGTGCTTTGGAGTGTGTGTCGGTGATGTAAACATTGCACTCACCTTTTCCTAGCAGAAGGAGAGAAGCAGCCTGTGCCTTGTGTGGAGTTGGAGACGTGCGTGATGATGATGGCTCTCTCTGCTCTGTCCTTCAGAACACAGTGGCCCTGTTGTATGTAGTGACTGCAATGCTGATATGGACAGTTACTCCAAGGAACAGGTCTTCTGTCCTCAGCCTGTGTCCAAAGACAGTGCACAGCTGAGCACATATGGCGGCCAGGAGCCCAGTCAGAGTCACCGAGAACACTGTTCACAGCACCCTCACAGGGGGACTATTGAGGGGTCCTGCACTGACTGCAAGGGTTCCCTCTACCCCAGTAACCATGATAGAATGCTGCCATCCTTGAAGAAGCCGCCAGTGGCATCTCTAGATGGAAAAGGTAACTTGACTGTCTCCTGAGGCATTTCTAGCAGGTGGGTTAGAGCCACTTGTGCGGTCAGAGGGGAGGGTCTGATGTTTTCTGTATTTTCTCCTAGAGGATTCATCTTGGACTTTAGCAAGATTGTATGAATCGGACTCCATAAACCAAGAGCCTCTGTCTACAATGACTTCAGGCAACCCAGAGCTCCCAGAAGCCCAGCACTTGCTTGTTTCCAATGGCCATCTCCCCACAGTATGTGAGCCCACACCGCCAACAGGACAGCTCCCCAGGAAGTGGAGGGGACCACTGCTGTTGGCACCAAAAAGCTAAGCGTTGTCTACCTCAGCTCTTGTCATACCATTGTCTGCAGGAAAGAGAGGTAGGAGAGGCCATGCGGAAGTTAGGCTCAAGCGTCATTGATCTGTACAGGCTTAACTCCGTGAGGAATACCAGTCACAGAACTTTCATCTGAAGCACAGAAATGCAGGAGGCTATTTGTGTACAAAAGGCAGAAAAAGTATTTGATACCATTGTACATAAGAGTTTTCAGAGATTTCATATATATTATATATCTTTTACAGAGGCTATTTTAATCTTTTAGTGCATGGTTAACAAAAGAATTATACAATTTTGACAATATTATTTTTCATATCAGGTTGCTGTTTAATTTTGAGGGGGGTGGGGAATAGTTCTGGTGCCTTAATGCACAGCTGGAACTTAGTGAGGTGAAAACCACATTTGCTCCCCAGCACTTCTGGAGGGTGGGTGGGGAAGAACGAAAAGTCCTTGGCTTCCCATGCCGGTCAGGCTGCCGTGTTGTGTGCCAGTCACTCACTCGTCTCTGCAGTGAGTAACTACTTACTGTAGGTGTAAGTTCATTCTTTTAGGGGGAGAATTGTTAAGCCACCACAATTAAGCACTGCCTTTCTTCCTACTTTGAAGTTTATTTTATGATAAAAGCAAATGTGGTCTTATCTGGATCCTTGGATTATTATTTGAAGCTTTTTATTAAGGCAAAGGCTGCTGGTGTTGGTACCTGTGGATTTTTTCAATACTGATGTTTTAGTTCTGCCAGTTTATTACATTGGAGGATGAAAAGGATAAAGTTCTCACTTTTCAGGGCTAGCTTATTTCTACTGAGGAGCCAGAGCAGGCCTGTCCACACTTTTTCCCTCACACAGATGGAACTGGGCTTTGATTGTACAATTTAGCCCTAGACCTGGGTATATTTGCACTTTTGAGACCTGTAGCTAACCATCTTGTGAGTGCCAATGTGTAATTTGGTAAAAATTACCTTGAAACAAGCAAGGTCTTTAAAATCTGAAAGAGCAAGTTCCTTTAGTCAAACGCTGAAGGGAGATGTTGACAAAATGGTTACCTATGTCAAATTTCACTGTCAGAGGTAGTCACTGTTCCAAAAGGTAAGCACATTGAGAATTTTGTTCACAAGTTAACTAATGTTACTTCCACAAAATATGTGAATTTGCTGCTTCTGAGAGGCAATGTGAAAGAGGAAGTATTACTTTTATGTACAAAGTTATTTATTTATAGAAGTTTTGGTATAATGTACATTGAAAAACATGTAAAATATTGAAGTGTCTAACAAGTGGCATTGAAGCGTCTTTAATAAAGGTCCATTTATAAACCTTAAGTTTATGGCTAGGGTTATTCTTTCTGTAGTAAATGTCATTTTACTTTTACCATTCCTTTCCTAAAAACACCACAAAAACAGGCAAAGCAGCACTGTGTACTACTGCGAAAGGAAGACACCACCGCTAGACTCCTGGAGAGTTCTCCCTGTAGCTGGTTACACCTGGACCTTAAACCACAAAAACAGGCAAAGCAGCTAAAGGAAGACACCACCGCTAGACTCCTGGAGAGTTCTCCCTGTAGCTGGTTACACCTGGACCTTGCTAGTCAGGTTCTCAAATCCCAAAGCATGCTGACCTTTCCATGTCTTCCATTCTGCTTCTGGTGTCGAGGCCACAAACTCCATTAAGATAAGCAATGCTGGGCCACGGATTTAGCTCAGTGGTTCTGGTACCTGCCTCGCAAGTGCAAGGGCCTGAGTTCAATCTCTGGTACCAGCCGGGAAAAAAAAAGACAAGCAATGCTGTGCACAGGCTGGGGAAAGAGTGGAGTGGGCTCCACTGTCTTGAGGCGACTGAGAGCCTGCCCAGCCAGCGGAGCCACCAGGATGCTCACTTTCGTGTGCCGCAGGCGTCAGTGGACACATCCATGTAAAATAAACCACCACATTTTAATTGGTGAAATAATTAAAAACAGCAGCCTAGTGACCAGAAAGAATGCTTGCTATGCACCTGTAGTTCACTGTTTTTAAACAAAGCTGAAACTTTACACAATAGGAATTCGCCCAGGGGAGAAATAGCCACATGCAGAATTTTGCCCCACGTCTCCTTCCTTTTCCTTGTGCTTGTTTTAAAACTGTAACCATCCTGCCAGGCGCTGTACCTGCCAGGCAAACTCAAAGTCCTGAGTTTAATTCCCAGTCCCCTCAGCCCCCCAAAAAAGAAAGAAATTCACTGTAACCATCTTGCCCTCTGCTGGATCCACCTTCAGGTGGCAGGAAATGAAAGACCAAACAAAAGCTATGAGGGGCTGGGCCTCAGCACCAGCAGACTTTTTTATTGAGGGATTCTGAGAAGACTGTTCAGAGTTTTACTACTGTCAGTTTCCTTGTTCTGGGTGCAGCAGGTGACAACTCCAGGTGGGTGAGCGGCAGCACCTGGGAGGCAGGTTCTCGCTACAGACACCTTTCCTTGGGAAGGTACACGCACAGCCTCTGCCTCACCGACTTTGTCTGCCCACTCTGGACAGCATGCTGCGGGCTTGCTCATAAGCACCCAGAAAGATGAAGCCTCCCAGGCTGATTGCTGCCATTCGAGGGAAGACTCCAGCGAATAACCTACGGGAAGAAAAGCTAATTTAAAACTGTGGAAAAGGTGGTTAAATTTGGAACCCCAGAGCTTGCTCAACCCAACGTACTGACTCATTATGTCCCACACAACACTTAAAGTGAGCTTTTCTCCCTTTAGAACGCCACTAGGTAGCGTTCCCAAGTAAGCCTGCGAAGGAGCCCAGCTTTGTGCAGCCAAGGTTGAGACCACTGCAGCTCAGTGTCCCCGAAGAAAGGAATCCAGTGAGGTTAGAGGGTGCTTCCCAGGATGACCACGGGCTCAAAGGAGTTAGCCTGGGGAAAACAAGCAGGCTTTCAGATAACCAGTGCTCCTCTTATCTGACTCAGTCACGTTTTATGTTCAAAACTCCACATATGTGATGCCATAGGGAAGAAGCATGGATCCTTGTATTCTATCTCAGATTCATTTAGGACTGAGGCAAGTGGGCCACAGCGAGGAGGGAGCAGCACTCCCAAAAATTTCAGTGCTCAGACACAGCTCCAGAGAGCCCAGGTCAGCGAAGAGCAGCACTAAGGATCACAACCTTCTCCTGGCCGTGCACAGGTCCATGTTAATATGCTCACTGTTGAGAGAAAAGCTGCAAATGACCCTAGTTACCTAAGTCATGGCACAGAGCAAACCCACTGCTAGACAGGAAGTGGGCAGAAGCAAGACACAGGCACCAGCTGCAAACATTCACAGCACAGGTTTAAAAGCAAGTCCGGGGCCGGGGATTTAGCTCGGTGCTGCTGCCTGCCTCGCAAGCCCAAGGTCAGGAGTTTGATCCCCACACCAAAAACAAAAGCAAGTCCATATAAGAGCATATTTGGCGACACCCAGGGTGTTCTTAAGCTATGAATGCCCGCTTTCTGTGGAGGGGATGAGGACGAGCATCTACATTTTCATAACATCTGAATGTTTCCTCAGGATATTTCATGAGGAAAAACCATGTCCAAAGTCATAGCTAGTGGGCAGAGTAGAGGAGAAAGTTGAAAAGGGTACAGATGGACCACGAGCTGTGCATTTGAGGACTCAGGAAGCCCTGCATAATGAGCTGGGGCAGCTGAGTGGGGAAGCAGATGGGAAGGAATTCTTTGCGGCCTTCACAGCCCCCTGTGCATGCAGCGCACAGCACCTCTGAGGAATAAAAGATTACTACGTTAGTATGTGGGGCCCTTTGGGGCTAACTACCTCCAAATTTAAATCATCACATAAAATGAAGAACCTCTTTCTCTCATCTGGAAATAAACATGAAAATTCTACAGAAGACCAAAATATACATTTAAAAAAAAAGTTCAGCTGGGCATGGTGAAGAGCCCTGCAATGAGCTGGGGCAGCTGAGTGGGGAAGCAGATGGGAAGGAATTCTTTGCGGCCTTCACAGCCCCCTGTGCATGCAGCGCACAGCACCTCTGAGGAATAAAAGATTACTACGTTAGTATGTGGGGCCCTTTGGGGCTAACTACCTCCAAATTTAAATCATCACATAAAATGAAGAACCTCTTTCTCTCATCTGGAAATAAACATGAAAATTCTACAGAAGACCAAAATATACATTTAAAAAAAAAGTTCAGCTGGGCATGGTGTACACGGTTTCTGCATGAAGTGGCTGGTGAGGGTACAACCTTGTAAATTACTGCTACGATGCTATCTTTCTGGCCTAAAAATGGGTTAATTTCCCTTGTCCTGACCTACAAAGAGAAGGTGCTAAAAGGATCTCAGCAGAAACTTGGCTGTGGAAGACCACACTGGCCACAGATTCTCCCTATCGTATTTCTACAAGCCAGTCTTACTCAGCTTTTCCCGCTACCAAGCTCAGCTACTCATGAGAAGAGGAGACGGAAGCAGTCTATGGTTTCACTGGATGACAACACAAGCTACTGACATAATTGCACGCTTTAAAGCAATTTGTACAGGTAGCACCCCAAACCAAACTCAGAGGCAGAGGCTTGCAAGAAGGGAGGAGTGTGTGCCAGTGTCCGCAGACCACACAAGACTGCAGATGGACAGCATTCCCGTTGCACTGGGCACAAAGTGGGGCTCAAGGCAGTCGATATTAAAACAAAAAGGCAGTTGATCAAGAAGGCACAGATAAGCAGGCTTCCCATCTGCTCTCCACCACTGTACTGAATGGGCACGCGGGACTGTTACTTAGGGGGAGGCTTGCCTGCCCTAAAGCATATACCCTACAGATGTGCCAGATACAGCCTTTGCCCGGGGAACCTACATGGAAACACAAAGTGGTCTCCACTTGCTCTGACCCTGAGAGGGCAGCCCCATCCACCATAAGTGGGAACTTGGACATGGGACAGAAGAAGCCAGCTGAGCCACGTTCAGGGTGGAGGCTGTCTGGGACCACTACTAAGGAAAGCTGCCCAGGCCCAGAGGGGTTTTTGCTTCATTTGCTTTCTGGTCAATTCTTGTCTTTCATCATACTAACAAGGGGGCCACTAAAAGTGTCGTATCTTAGGTGACAACCTTGCTGCCTGGAATACGTTGCTCAGGACTACCCACATGTACCAAGCAGAGCCCAAGACGTAAGGGACCTGTGGAAGGTAAGGAAAGACTAAGCTTTGCAGGGCACACACAGGAAGCGGAGAACAGACAGGTTATTGGTGTCATTTTGACACACACACACCTGCCTACGATTCTGGCAGGGCTTAATTTTATAACATCGCCTGTGCCACAACCAGGGCATCCTTCTGTCACCCTTCCCATGATCTACTCAAGGCAGTTCTTTCTCTAACAGCTTTCAGAGCCAGTGGTTTTTGCCCATGGATCACACCACCCCTGTTACCACCTTCTCAAGAAAGGCAGATGGGCTGCAGCTTGACCTCCACTCCACAGTACCAAGGTCAACAGTTCTGGCTGGCAGTTTTCAGACTCTACCATGAACTACCTGGAAAAAAATGAAATCTGGCAGACTGCTTTCAAGATATAATACAAAAACAAAACAAAACAAAAAAACCTACTGTATATAATTTCTCCACATATGTGGCCCAATCAGTGCAACATTAAGAATCTTACCAACTACTATACACATGGTATCAGACTTCATTTTTCCCTCCTACCATTTCTTTGTTCAGGGCAAACTTTGTACCAGAATGAGTGGGCCTCTGATAGGAGGAATCACATTCTTATCTGTGACTCACAGACTCACAGTACAGATGCCACTACTCTGCACACCTCAGGATCCAAGACATGAAGATTCAGTTAGTCCTTTCCACTAGACCCACTCCTGTTTCAACCCATTAGCACCTGAGTTCCCTTTGGACACTCTGTGCCAAGGAGGGGGCTGCTTCTCTGCCCGAACTTGAACTGGGGCCCTTACCTCCTTGCTTTAGGTTCCCAGACTATCAGGTGGAATTCACACAGCCCAAAGCACACAGAAATGCAATCAAGTAACCCATGCCAGCCCGGGGATGAGAAGTGGCAGCACCAGCAAGCAAAGAGGCTGGAGACCAACTGGAGCCTCTGCTCTGTTCCCTCCACCTTCAGTGCGACTCCTGTCCTAGACAGCCCTGTGGCAGGCTTCCTGCCCTGTGCAAAGGGAGCTCACTGCTCTGTTCTTACAGGATCTTCCTAGTGGAAGATTTCAGAGAAGCCATATCTCCCTTTAAGATCCCAACATTTATGCACTTTACAAGTTTATATTGTAAAAGCACTGTTGGGATAACATTTGAAGAAAGAGCTTTTAACAGAAGGAAGCTAAAAGTATGAGACACTCGGCCAATAATATAGCTCGGTTATTCTCAACTGAGGTGTATGCCCTGCATGTGGCATGTTTAAAGTGTAACATGCCTCATAGCAACATCTGTGTGCAAGATAACCACATAGAACATGCAGTCCCCACAGTTCTGATGCAGTTGAGTCACCTGCAGCATGTGGTACAGTAGCCTTTAATACAGGGTTGTAGTGTAGTCAGCAGGTCACACCACACGGCCTAGGCCAGACTGTCCAGGTCTATAAACACCCTCATGACGGTTACACAATGACAGAATTACCTGCCCACACTAACCACATCCTCATCATAAGGCAATGTGTAGCTACACTATTGCCCACACCACAAAAACTCTCTTCTACCAACACACCTGTCCTTCACTTGCATTCCTGCATTGTGAAACCGGGAGCCGCTTTTGTCTATGCTGCAGCCCAGATGGCGGCAAGGGCTACACATGGAAATCACACCAAGATGGATAAGAATGAAAATCACTTGGCCAAAATATTCCAAAATATACCATTATCTCACATATACAACATCAATAAAATACTTCATCCAATCCAAATAAAGGGGCCCAAATAAACATAAGCAGAAAAAAGGGAAAGGTGCTCATCCCATGGCAGGCTGGTAGGAGGCAGGACAGCCGAGTGTTCTCCATGTCCTTACCCTGTGAACCCCTGTGACCTCCAGAGCCCTCGTAAGGCAGAAAGCACGTTCCCACTTGCCGTGCTGGATTCAGCCTGTATGAACAGACAAGGGAGAAATCCGTTAGCATCTGACACTCTTCAACTGACAGCTGGCTCTCAGAGGTCCTCAGACGCATGTCTCCTTTTCCCTCATTTAGGACAAACAGACAGTCCAGAGAGCTGCTCAGAAATAAAGACCTGTCCTCACTGGCCCAGAAGCACTCAGATTCAGACATCCAGGCATGTAGTGGACTGGCCGTCATCACAGAAGAAAGCTGCTTTTAGACTTTACCCAGTTTCCTGACATACAACCGGAAGAGGCTCATTAAGTTGATCTGAGAAGGACAGAGAGTCAGTCACCAGTGTAAGTGGCACAAGTAAGAAATGTGCCTATGCAGTACTAAGCACATTTAATAAATACTATGTTCCATTTCAAATCTGATCTGCATTCTCTGGTTTAGTTTTGTACTAGGTCTCTGTTCACCTTTGTTCTACTTTTCCACAAGGATAGGAATTTTTAAAAAACTGCTTTGGTTGAGAAACAGTCTTCATATGGCTTTCTTTGAACACTCAAGTCTAGCTTTAAAAAAAAAAGTTTTAATTTTTAACAGTTATAAAAAAACAAAGCTGGACAGTTTATTCTACTGAATACAAGGCTTAAAAGCTACTATAATTCAGGTACTGTGGTACCAGAACAAAAGACAAATCTACTATCAGAATCGTCTTAACAATTGTTTTAAACAATTTTAGCAACTGCCTTGTCTGGTTAAGGCCAGTCATAATCTGCTTACAGCCTACAGCAGTAATGGTGAACCTTTTAGAGCTTTCCATAGTAACCAACAGCTGGCTGCAGCATGCATGCCACAGGTTTCCTACCACTGCCTGTAGCTCAGCTGCTGTATTATACAACGCCAGTCTAAGCCCGCGGTTGGACACTAGCATTACCAGACAGAGGCTCAGACCCACTTGTTGATGTAATGCAGGGAAAATGACTTTGAAATGGAAAAATGCAGCACAGACATTTGTCACAGGGATTAGCTTAACTACTCTATGTCAGTTATTTCAATGGTTCCCAGGTACTTCTATTCACTACTATATACCTACAGCCCAAACCCTGACAGACGGTCTACATTACAGTATTTTGCCACTTACCTTTGCCAACATAATTCTTGTCTTTGCCACATCCAAAGGTGTGGTGATTACAGCTGCAAAGCCACCTGTGTACATAATACCCAAGTGAGATGTTCACTGTGCTAGATAGTAACATTATGTTTTGCTTTGTAACACCTCACCGTTCTGCCCAAATCACCCATCGTTACGTCCACCTGACTGCACCATGAATAGGATGCACAAGTGCGAAATTTTAATCCAAATACAGTAAGTCCTTCATTTACAAGTCAGCACTGTCTTGGGAGAACTGTCCGTGAGCCCACAGTGCGAGTCTTACGCAGTACACCTGTACAAGTTCACAACTCGTCCATCTCTTCTGCAATGATGTAGAAGGGCAAATGAAAGACAACACTTTATGCATTCAGGTAAGAAAACAAGGCCTCACAACACCTCTTGCTCTTTCCTGGACCAGCAGACTAATCTGACGGTAAACAGGAAGGGCATGTGACCAGACAGGAGCGGCACACTGCTGTTCACGGCTCGCAGGGTCCACACTTTTCGGTGGGCGCTGTGCTTCAGACCAACTCCCAAGTGCTTCCGTCATTTCTTTTCTACATACGCCCCACTGCACAGCATCAGTGTATCACACAACAGCTTTCGGTATGAATGGCTACAGCCCGCCAGTTGAAAGAATAAATCTTTCTGCATTTCACAGGGTCCAGACAGCAGGTCAGTGAGTCACACTTCCTAGTTCAGTTTCTTCCTATGCCTGCCTTCCTACCTTCTCTCGTGTTCTCTTGATCTGAATATCATGGTGGCCAAACTGTTCACATATTTTAACAGAGTCCACATCTGTGGGCACAGCAATTGAAAGCTTTCCTTTTTCTGGTAACATGAACTACATTTTATTATGTCAATGTTTTATTTAATATGGTACAAAGATACATTTTAAACCCCAAGGGCCCTAGGAGAGAAACACTAAACCCCAAACGGGTTCTAGGAGCTGGGGGCCAGCAGCAGTTCCACACAACGTGCACACAACACATGTGAAGGCTGTGCCAGAAATAGCTGCTCTCTCCCTCTAACTGCCATGGCTTATGCACAAGAAGGCCACCTGATCTCTCCAAATAGTTTTCTAAATTTGTGGCTGAAATAAGATCACTACGGTGAAGCTCTTCTATACGGCACTGACTCTTGGAAAGGTGTACCCATTTATGTGTTTATGTTTATTTTTGGTTCCCCACGAATGTCACACACCTTATGGCTAAAAAGTGTCAAAATGAATATTAGAATCCATTTTAGCCCCTTTAGGATGATGAATGTGTAAAATTCCTGCCTCAAAATTTCAAGGGTTCCCTAAATTCTGACACTTGCTAAACCTAAATTTTGTGGTCTGGACATGAAATCCTAACTCTTAATGTTTTAAAAACATACAGTCTGCTCTAGAGGAGAAAATATACTTTTAATTGTAGAAAAGGATACAAGAAAGCTTCACATCCATTCAAAAATAAAAATGAAAATCCTAAGAAGCAAAGAAAAGGAAACAGACAACAAACATCATCTCAATTTCCCACTTTAAATACTACTGTATTGGGTTAGTCTCTCACTGGCAGCAGTGTCTATCAGGGTTTTCCTGCAGAGAAGCCTTCTTCTCTGCAGTGAAAGAGACCCAAGCTTCCACGCAATGTTGTCACATGGGAGTTATTTACTCTCTAGCTCCAGTATTTACGAGACCCTGCATGCCACAGGCAGGGAAACTGAAGCTTACAGAAGCTGGCTTGTGGAAGGTTCTGCTGTGCACGGAGCTGAGACTTGCTGGTAAGTGTGCCCAAATACGCCACTTGTCTGTGTGCTGCAGTGTGACTGTGGGAGGCACAGGGACTACATGAGTGTGTGGGCAGTGCCTGGAATCAAGTGCCTCAAAGCCTCAGGAGGCCTCAAAGCAACTGCTCTTTTGTAGGCAGACAGAGATAATTGGTTATTTTTCTTCCGGAGATGGGGAGACAGACTAACCCAGGGCCTTGGCACTGATCTTCACCCCTGACTCTTTTTAATTTTGAAACTAAGTTCTGAAATTGCTCAGGCCAGAACAGAACTTATCAATCCTCCTGGCCCAACTTCTCACAGTGCTGGGATTATAGGTATGCACCACCACACCCAGAATGACTTTGCACATCTCTAGTTCAGTGCACGTAGTGGACATTCAAACATAGAGACAAATGTCAAAAGTTTTCAAACTAAAATGTCAACTCCTCCTCTAAAAGGCACAGGAAAGGAAAGGCAGATGCTGACACCAGTGCTATCTTGCTCTGTCACTAATGCCCTACCTCATTTCCAGGAGCATCCTGCCTAGGGCTGTGTAGCCAGTACAGAGGAGTGGAAACTCAAGGTCACACGTATCCTGACTCCAAAAGTCACTCTTTCCACTGTGTAAGGACTCCTATATAGCATAAGACAAATTAAAATTTATTTCACTGTGAAAACCCATTTTCCTATTTGAAAATGTTCACAAACTTTTCTAAGCCAGTTAAAAAGACGTAAAACTTCACAGGAACATTTAATAAGTTTGGATACTTATTCTGGCCACTGGCAAAGGTTTACTTTCCCTTTGCAGTGGATGCCTGCCAATATTCTCTTAGAGACTTAGATTTCATTGAAGTAATATGAAGGAAAATTAAACAGAGAAACACCTATGCACTGAGAGGCCCTAATTTTAATAGCATGATAAAAACTGCTCTGTGTAAGTCAATAAAATATCAATTTAAAGTTCTTCAAATATCAGATTCCCTAATTCAGGCCTTGCAATGTTTGAGAAGACTGCAATACAGACTTGTGAAAATAACAGAATGGAGAGAGACTGGGCACAGGGTTTTCAGCTAAAATGTTGCTATATTCCATGTTTTACTTAAAGGAACTGTAAGTTACTGGTAAAAAATAAAAGAAAGGAACATGCTATCAGACAGGGACTAACTACCTGGTGCAGCAAAGACCCGCTGCTCTCTCATTCATGTCACATGTGGAACACCTCAGGTCTCCCTCCCAGCAGTGGGTGTTTCCGGTTAAGCTGCCTCCACTAGAGGCCACATCCAGGGGAAAATAGGCTGTCATGATCAAATGATCTCCCATACCTCCTTGGGGAGCAAATGCAACCCTGGCCTTCTCTTAGACAAAGGAGCTACCTTTCTACATTAGGTCAAGAGCTGTCACCTCAAGTGCGCAGCTGAGAATGCGGAGGGAGGCAGTGGGGAGCCCCGCTCATTCTCTGCTCCTCCAAGCTCTTCTTTCCTCCGATCTCTCAGGAAGGAACAACAGGACCTCCTCTATGCACGCCTTCTGCATGATCTTCAGAATGTTCCAATGTCCAAAATGTCCACAATGTGGTTTCCTGTGTCAGCCCTTCTCATTTGCTACCCAAATAATCTTTCAACCTCTTCTAGAATTTCAAGCCCACAGAGAGGTTGAGATATTTCTCTCCCCCACCTCTGCTCGCTTAGACAACAGAAATTATTCCCTATGAAAAATTTTCAAAAATAACAGTATACCAAATAAAACTAGAGTAGTAAATGTTGTAATTACCCACACATCATTATGGTTTTATGTTTAGAAATTAACCCTAAGTGAAAAAAAGCAGAAGTCTTTTATTTATTTTTTAACTAGTTTAACCCCTGACCAGAAGCCAGGAATTTCTGAGCATGACAAGCCATCAACACCTTCAATCTCAAAAGACATTCTTGGACATCTCTGCCAAGTAGTTTATAAACCAGCCTGGCCAAGGAGTTGTGCCAGGGACGGCACAGGGAGCAGTTCACTGGCAGTGAGTTGGCTAGTTCGAATCTGGAAGACGGCAAGGAGAAAGCTGGTTTCGGGTTGGAGAACAAGGGTAGTCACTGCCTGGATGGCCCCACGTGGCACCTGCAGGGCTGCTGGGGTGGCTGCCACACCTCCTGTCTCCCCACTGTGTGAAGCAGAGCTGCAGCCAGGGCTCAGACACTGTCAGCTTTACACAATATGGTTTTTTTTCTCTCTTTTCTTAGCATGCAAGAGGTTTGTATGTGTGTGAGTGATGCCCTTCTCCCTGAGATACATCTCCAAGCCCTTTTAGTGGTACTGGGGCTTGATCTCAGGGCCTTCATACTGAGTTACATCCCCTGAACCTGCCTTCTGAGACAGTCTTGCTAAGTCGCTAAATTGTCTAGGCTAGGCTCAAACTTTCAATCCTCCTGCCTCAGTCTCCTAGAGTGCTGGAATTACAGGTGTGTGCCACTACACCTGGCTGGGCTGCTTGTTTTTAATTGAAATAACAGGTCTTTACACCCGTTCAGTTTTATAAATTACAAAGTACTAATGATCCCCAAAGTCATTCTTTTCTGTTTCTCCATGTCACAGGCAAACTGACATGTTCAGGAAAGCCCAGAGTCTCCTTCCTGAGCTGGGGAGAGACTTGCTAACCCTGACTGTCAGACAGAACAGGCTGTGTAGCTATGAGGCTTGGGCACCCTCCTTCCCACCCACCGGGAGTATCCTGGGTCCCCCTAGAACACAGGCCATGCCACAGCACCCCACCACTGAGCCACCTGCACCAGGAGGGCCAGGACAACACTATCTTCCAAACAGCCCGTGTCTGACAGCAAGAGTCCTCCCTCTCTCCCATAACAAGTGTTGTTAAGTGCTTAATACAGAGCTATTATTTGGGAAAAGGAATTACAGTATAATGAATACCAAGGTCCTCAGTGTGTACCATTGACGATTCTGAAAGCAAATCTTTGAGCTATTTAATAAATATGACCATAGAATATTTACTCATTTCAAAATATGCAAGTTTTAAAGCATTGTTAACCTTAAGAAGTGGCTGTAGCTGGGTGTGGGGCACGTGACTGGAAATCCAGCTACTTTGGAGGTCAAGGCAGGAGGATCACAAGTTCGAGGCCAGCCTGGGGAATTTAGGAAAACCCTGTGTCAAAATAAAAAATGAAAAAGGACTGGGGATATAGCTCAGTGGTAGTCCACTTGCCCAGCATGCACAAGGCACTGGGTTTAATCTCCAGTATTGCAAAGAAAAAGGGAAAGGGACAGGGACCGGGGTGGGGGGGAAGAGAGGGAGGGGGGAGGAGAGAAGGGAGGGAAGGAGGGACAGGGATAGAGAGACACAGAGGGGCAGACTTTCCTTATCCAGGATGACTAACTTTCCATAATGCTTACTTTGTCCCCAGGGCCCTGGAGGGAGTCAACAAAACTGCACAATTAATTCACTTAGGAGCTGGGTAATGAGGACCTCTGGAGATGACAGAGACCACCTACCCCTTTACACATCCAATGTCACGGGGAAACAATTCCCCATCATAATCAGTCTCAGTTGATGTCACATTTAGAAGATGAATATTTCTGATGATCATTTTCACAAGTCAAATGGGTTTAATTTTTAATAAAAAATCATATGAAATGTATGTTGTTTTTTCACTCACTACAACAATAAAAAAAATCCAATCCAACAATCATTAAGCAACTGGAAAAAAAGTCATTTTCCAATACAGTTGACCTACCTTTCAGCTTACCAGCTTTGCATCTACACAGTTCACAATTTTCAGGAAAATTCTGACTTCATTGCAGCTATAATTCTAATTTAACCTTATTTGCAGTGATGATATATTTTTCTCTTAGACTTTTCACTTATTAAACTCTTTAAGGATCTGAGCTCTTAAATCCATACAACTAGGTGAAGGGTAACACAGCACCGCACCGTCACCTCGCGTTCCGGTACCACAAGATGCCCGGATGTGCGGCCGGCCCTATTTTCTGCACAGCGTGGCTCAGCCTTCCGTCAGCTGTGCAGTGGCCTCTGCTCTCCCATACCAGTTAATCCACAGCGCTGTCAAACTTGTCACCGGCCAGCGAATCCCTGCTTTTTGCAGAAACCATTTAAAGCCCGAAGCACTGCTCCAGGCAGACAGCTGCGCGCGCTGGGCCCCGGACTCAGCCAGCCTCTGCCCATGGAGGACTTTATAAATCAAAAGTAAGATAATCCCAGGGCCTGAGTGAAGGCTTTAATAAAGATAAAAAGTAAAAGGTAAAATCTGTCAAAAACAAATTGGTTGTCTTTCAAGCAGACACCTTTTTAGTAATATTTTCTAAGACAGTTTTTTAAACAGCTAGTGAAGCCCTCTTCATCTAAACAATCTGGAATTTCTAAAGAATGTTGTTTATGCATAGTTAATATTGTCACATCCACCCCCACCCCGGTTTCTCCCAGTATAATATAATCCTTTGCACCTGCAAAAGCTCCACACACTGCTGACTGCCAAGAATCCACTGCATGATCCTGCCGCCAGGACCAGAGGGCCTGTGTGTAAAGAGAAAGAAAAACACGTGTTACGAAACCCTTGAATTTATCAGAACCTCCTGTGGGTTGGCTCTGGGGATAGGAACTTAAGTGAGAAGCTATTTTGGTGGCATTTTTCACTGATGACATAAGTGATTTTCCCAAGGACTTAACTGCATTTTAAAATAAGTTAAAGAAATGACACTGGGGTGCTCAAAGGAAATAATTTTCAGGGAATGTTTCATACAGACACATTAAAACAAAAATAACCTCTTTAGGACAATGAAATGTCTTAATTTCCCACATAATTCTAAATATACAGAATTCATACAGTCCCGAATAGTGTATGTCAAATCCCTCAATTCTTTTAAAATTCTGTATTCAAATCACATGTTTGAAGGATGCTAATTCTGCTACCTGAGTGTTAATTTAAAATTTCTCAAAATATTTTTTGTACTGTTCATGTAATATGGATAGTTGAGGGTTACACAATTACCCATGGCCAAGTTCAAACTGGGCAAAGTTATTTCAAAGAAATGAGACCTTGTTCATCAAGAGTTTAAAATCTAGTAGAAGACAAGAGAAAGTCACATAAAAATGTTGAACAAGAGAGTGAGGCATAATCTCTATATTTTATTTCATTATTTTTTTAATCTCTGTATTTTAAAGTCATAGTCTTCCCAGACTATGGGAAGTTGCGTCCTGTTGTTATCTACTTTTACCTAGATTTTTATTTGTTTTTGTTATATCTAGGCTTTCTAAGACCAGAGTTTTGCATACTATTTTCCTTAGCTTTGCTGAGATAATCATTAAAGAAACTAAAGTATGCAATCTGATATTTTCAAAAAAACAAAAACACAAGTGAAAAGTGACATATTTTTGCACACAAAAAAACACTGCTATAATAAAGACAGAAACATTACCCACGACTCTAAAGTTTGTATTCCAAGGGAACCCCTTTTCTGCCCTCCTCATACTCCTTAACAATCTGATCTGTCAGAGTGTGTTATGGTTTTCCTATCTAGATGCCCCCCAAAGCCTCACGTGCTCATAGGTGGGACTGTTGGAAGTGATCGGATTATGGTGTGTGATATTTGACAAGTCCACTAACTGGCTTAGCATAATTTTTGGTGGGATGATGGACTTACTCAAGAGGGAAGACCCACTTGGGTGTCGGTAGCACCACCAGCAAGATTATAGCCTGGATGAAATACAAAGGAAAGAAGAAGGTAGGCTGCTACTTTCTGACTGACCTGATGGACACTGGTTCTCCTCCACCAAGCCACCCTCCCTTGGAGCCAGCCGACTATGCACTGAAACCTTTACAAACTGTGAGCTAAAATAAACCTGTCCTCCTTTAAATTGTGGGTGTCAGGCATTCTGCCCCAGCAATGAGAAAGTAACTAAGACACTGTAGCATAGTTTGCCTTTTCCAGAATTTTTTGGAAATATAATTACACCTTTAAAAAACATCTAGCTCCAGATTATTTTATCCATGTCACTGCAGATATCAACAGTTCAAAGTGTATCATAGATTTACTGACCTGTTGATTTACATTTGGAATTTTTCCAGTTTGGAGTTATTACAAATAAAGTCACAATGAACATATGTACCTAGGGGAGAAGGAGTAGGTCACAGGGCCAGGTACTTTAAAAACTGCCAAACTATTTTCCAAAGTGGCTGTAACACTGTATATTTCTACCAGTCCTAGTTTTATGCATATTTCCCAACACTTGGTATTGTAGGTATTTAAAAATTTTTAACATTACAGTAGTACCTAGGTTCACAGACATAATTCTTTACAGCAAACTGAGTTGAACGAAAATTGAATCAAATTCAATGGTTAGGTCCAATGTTGACCTTATGGGGAAGTTTGATTTGGTTCTTATCCAATTTCATTTGTGAGCAGAGTCATGGAGAGAATTAAGTCCATGAATGGTGGCACCACCATATAATAAACATGTACTAGTATTTCCCTGTGGTTTTAATTTGTATCCCCTCAATGACAAGACATTGAGCTTCTTTCCAGGTACCTGTCTGGTAACTTGCACAGGCTGGGCTTGCATCTGCAATCCTTCTCACTTCAGCCTCCCAACAAGCTGGGACGACAGGCATGTGCAAGTACACCTGCTCTGGTTATCCTCAGTGTCCACTCGAATGTTCTGCACATTTTTACTGGGTTGTGTATTAAGTTTTCACAGTTGTTAATATATTCTGGATGTAAGTCATTTGGGCAAATATAGCTTCGCCCAGACTGTGACTTATCTTTTTTTTTCTCTTACCACTGCCTTTCAAAGAATAAAATATTTTAATTTTGACAAATTCCAAGTTGTCGTTTATGGTTCTGGCTTCTGGTGACACATCTAAATAATCTTCTTTGCTTAATCCAAAGTTACAAAGATTTTTCTCCTATGCTTTCAGAAATCTAAGGTTCTTGGACTTTACTTTTAGAACTATCATCCACTTTGGATTAATTTTTATATAAATGCAAGTATGGCCTGGAGTTTTGTTTTTACAAATAGGTATTTGGTTGTTCCAGCAACTGGGAAAAAAAAATGATCCTTTCTCCAATGAACTGAGACATACATGGCCTCAGAATTAGCTTTCTCACTTTTGTCAAAAACTAACTGTTTCTACATGTATGGCTTTTTATATCAACTCTCTATTCTGTTTTAATCTATAGATCTTGATGCCAATTCTCTCAACTACTCTGTAGCATTCAGTAAATTTTGGAACCAGGTAGTTTTTTGTTCACCAATTTTTTCCTGACTATTCAAGGTTCTTTCCATGTCTGTATGAAGTCTTAGAATCAGACTATTAAAGTCTACAAATAGACTTCCAGGAATCTGAGTTCACAATGAACCTATACATCATTTTGGGAGAATGCAGGCATTACTAATGTTAGTTTTTAACTAAAAATATGGTGTATCTGTTTACTTGGGCCTCCTATAATTTCAGTTTTGAAGTTTTCGGGAAAGAGGCTTTACACTGATTTTTACACTCAGCACTCATCTTGTGCTCTATTTCCCCACTAACACCCACATCTAGAAAGCTGAGAGGGTTGCTACAGAAATGGGGTCAATGTCCTATAAATGAGACACGCATGGCCCTGTATTCCAGTTTTAGCAACTTATTTTTTTGGTACTGGGGATCGAACCCAGGACCTTGTGGCTATGTGGGAGGTTAGCAACTTTTTATGATATTTAGTAAATTAGATATATGATAATGTATTGTGTCTCTCATTTCTATCTACGCTAATTAATGAAAGGAATTGTGTGAAAGAGAATTTATTAAATTTATTGACTAAAAGTTTAACTATCAAATAGAGCTTTGTAACTCTGCTTGTGAAGGCAGATAAGCTTTAAAAAGTGTTTTTACAAACAGGTTTCCAAAGACAGGCATGGTGGTGCAGGTCTGTAATCCCAGCACTCTGGGAGGCTGAGGCAGAAGTGTTATAAATTCAAGCCCTGCCAGCCTGGACAATTTACTAAGAACCTAATTCAAAATAAAAGGTGGGGAGGGGCCTGGGGATCTACCTCAGTGTGAAGGCCCTGTGTTCAACCCTAATACCGCATGCACATACGGAGTGTGTGTGTACGATGGGCGGACAGAGAGAGAGAGAGTGCTATTATTAAATGTAGTGTTTGGTATATTTTCAGTGAATGCTCCAATGTTTACAAATAAATTTATTCTTTTATAGAAAACATTTTCTCCAGAGCACTTACAAGCACTAGAGATAGAATAAGAAAATGTGAGAAACTAAAAGTGTAAATGAGGACCAAAATGTATAATAGATATTATGAAATAGGAAGAAATGTTGGAAGGGGAAGGGCAGTCAGGGTAAAGGAGAAAAAGGAAAGGAAAAAAATGAAAAAAAGGAGGAAAAATGGGAACGAAGCATATGTAGAGAGGGAGGGGTGGAGGGGTTTAAGAGAGCAGGAGAATGGGGAAAAAATAAGAACCAAGATACATCACATAAAGGTACAAATTCCCAATGATGAATGTGATTGTAATGTACACCTGAAACGTACCAATAAACTCAATATTTAAAAAATAAGAAAATGATAGAGTAACTTTTTTAAAGTAATGAAATGTGCATTTCCTCAGGCTAAACACATTTCTCACCTGACTTTTCTTTCGTGCTGGGGGTGGAACCAAGACCTTGCACATACATTCCAGCACTGAGCTACATCCCCAGCTCAAACACCACTCTTAACGCTACTCTAGTAAACTAGGCTGTTACTGATGAGTGCAGGCCACCTTCAGTTAGTTAATTTCTTGATATATTCCAACGAGGAGTTCAGTCCAAACAGGCTTAAAATACCAGTAGTAAAACTGAGTTTATAAGCAACAGTAAAGAGCAAGTAACAAGATGTAAACGAAGGGCACACAGGAGGGAGGACTCAAAGATCCCCTGTGATTCATAAACGCAGCAAACAATTACTGAGCACTGCAGACTCAAGGCAAAAAAAAAAAAAAAAAAATGTTT